GGCTTTCAGGCCTGCTGTCACAACTGACGGAAGTAACTGCAGCCAAACCAAAGTGCTGGTGGAGACCAGGCTTTCAACCCTCAGAGAGCATGCAGAGCCACTTGACAAAAAAGAGCTCTACCTCATAGCTGACTGCATCAGGACCACCACGGAAGGATGCCTGCGATTGTGGTAGGCTGCAAGGACAGATGGAAGGAAGCCTGCATTCTGACCCTAGCCAGCCATTAACGAGCCGAGGGGCAGCTGTCTGTGCCTCAGTTTCCTCATCAGTAAAATGAGGGATTTGGAGTAAGTTCCTTTCTAGCTTTCAGTCCACAACCCTAGGAATTAACAACTCCTCAAAGGGCAGGGAAGTAGTCAGGAGAACAGCTTCAAGAATCTGACAGCTTTGGGTTTAAGTCCTAGGTCCAGCACTCTTCAAATCTCTGACCAACCCACGGACCCTTCCTAAGCCTCAGATTCCTTATGGGAAAATGGATGTTAGCAGCACACCTACTTTTATGCTGTCTCAGGGTCAAAGTGACAAAGTGCAGGAAGCCAGTGCCTGGCACACATAAGTGACAGCTATTATTACAAGTCCTGGTAAGCGTGACAGCACCAGTCCTGTAGCTGGGAGGCGGAGCACAGCGCCAGTGCACGTGGGCAGTTCCCTTAACAGGACATCACCCCACCCCACCTCACCTCTCTGGGAAACGAGGGGACTGATTCTCCTCAAAGGGGCTACAGATACCACATCCCTGGGTGGAGACCTAGGGGATCCTATAGCTGCAGACACTTGATCTCATTCCACTCCCTCTGTGAGGCAGCTACTGATACCGCCCCACGTGACAGATGATGGGAAAAGGGAAATCACACACCCAGAGTTCAGTGGGGGAGCGAGGACATGAACCCAGGCTTGCCTGACCCTGAAGCCCAGCTCTCACCAAACTCACTATGCTCCTTGCCAACAAATGGACATTGTGAGCCATGGCCATGGGCAATCTAACTCAGCTCTCCTCTCTGCCAGTTATTCTAGAACCGACCCCACTCAGGGCTGCAGCGTCAAGTCATGGGCAGTACTCTGCACCTTCTGGGTCCTTCCCTCCCCTTCCATCCTCTTCCCCATACCAAAAGGCCTGAGCATCCAAGGCATAGCAGAGATAAGCAAGGCTAGGCTCTGCCCTCACGGAGATCACAATCTCAGGCCTGCCACCAGAGATAAAAGATTTAAAACTACAAAGCGCAGCACAGAGCCTTTTAGCAGCAGAATAAGCAGCTGACAGTGTTTTCCATTTAGTACCAGAGACATTAAAAGAAAAGGAAATGAGAGCAGTAACAAAATACGCTTCTAAGTGCCACTGGGACTCTCTTTGTAAGTTATGCACGATAAATACAAGAGAAATTTAATCTGCAGAGGATCCCATGGAGAGATTCAATGCCGAGGAAGCTGCTGCTCTTGGGATTAAGGACTCCGCTCTGGTGGGAAGGAGGAGGAAGAAAAAAAAGGAGGAAAAAGTGGCTGAGAAAAGTAAAACTGGTGATTAGGATGCTAACAATTCTAGACAAAGCACCTTCACAGAGACACAGACGCACACACACACTTCTGCTCCCACAATAGTCCTGCGAGGTAGGCAAGGCACAGAGGGGACAAGGCTCGGAGAAGGGACAGCACTCGCCCACAAGAGCCAGCTAAGAAGGGGAGAAGCTGCGACCGTGGACTCCAGGTCCAGGGTTTGGTCACCCACTCTGGGAAGTGGCCCAGGAGAGCAGGAACCCAGGCCAGGCCCAAGGGTCCCCCATAGCTCCCAGCTCAGTGGGCCAGCATCTCAGAGTGCTCCTGCCTTGGGAAAGCTGCTTCCCGGTCTTGTAAAAACTTTTCTTGGGTGACTCTTTTCTTGGGTGACTCTCTTTTTAGGCAAGTTTTCTCTAGAGGCAAAAGCCCGAGCTGGAGGAGCTCTACCACTCCCAGGTGGAGGTTCAGCCACATGCTTCTACAGGGGCCACTGTCACCATGCAGATGGCAGAAGCTGTGGAGTAGAGTTAGAAAAAGGGAGGGGATGGAGGACTTACACTGAAGAAAATCTTTTTTTTTTTTGTGAGCAAGATCAGCCCTGAGCTAACATCCGTGCTAATCCTCCTCTTTTTGCTGAGGAAGACCAGCTCTGAGCTAACATCTATTGCCAATCCTCCTCCTTTTTTTCCCCCCAAAGCCCCAGTAGATAGTTGTATGTCATAGTTGCACATCCTTCTAGTTGCTGTATGTGGGACGCAGCCTCAGCGTGGCCAAATGGTGCATCGGTGCGCGCCCGGGATTGGAACCCGGGCCGCCAGTAGTGGAGTGCGTGCACTTAACTGCTAAGCCATGGGGCCGGCCCCTGAAGAAAATCTTTAAGTGACCAATTTTTTAGAATATTTATTTAGCATAATCTTCCAGAGGGGCAGGGACATGAGCCAGTACCACTCTTAGACCCAAGCCACTGGGGCTCCTGCCCTGGCCCTGCTTTAGAGGGCCTCACTCTGGCCCTCTCCATGGGTTGACGAGTCCAGGGAGCCCACCCAAAGGCCCCCCTTTCCCCTACACCTGGAGCTCCAGGCCCTAAATATGTTCCTACAGCTGTAGGTGCCTCTTTCCTGGATTCTGACTCCCAGGGGTGAACTCCACTGTTGGTGTGTGCACCCCCACTGTCAGTGCGTACATTCCTAAGTCAAAGGAGTGGCCATGGGGCAGGTGTTCTTAGGGTGTGAAGGGAGCTGGGATGTCCACACACGTGTGTGAGAAGAGAAGGTGGGCCAACGCCCATTTGTACTCTAGCCCCAGATACCACAAACATAGGGGCAGACCTGGATGGTCTTTCAAAAACTTAAATTACACTTACCTATGATGTATTCAGCAAAAAAAAAAAAAAAAAAAGTGTTGCTTGATTCTACCAAGGCCTTCAATCTAATTTCTAGGTTACAGGAAATAAACAGGAAGGGGATAGAGAAACAAACCAAATAAAGCCCAAGAGAGGCAACCAGACAATTCAGAAGGTGGGACATTTTGCAGAATTGACCTGGATCCTTCAACAATTAGGGATATTAAAAAAAGAGTCTGGCCTGGCCCCGTGGCTTAGCAGTTAAGTGTGCGCGCTCCACTGCTGGCGGCCTGGGTTCGATCCCTGGCACGCACCGACGCACCGCTTCTCCGGCCATGCTGAGACCGTGTCCCACATACGGCAACTAGAAGGATGTGCAACTATGACACGCAACTGTCTACTGGGGCTTTGGGGGAAAAAAAAATAAATAAAATTATAAAAAAAATAAAAATAAAAATAAATAAAAAATAAAAAATAAAAAAAGTCTATTAATGATTAAAAGAGATATAAGATAATTTACATAGTGACTTCCTTCCAAAGAATACAATATGGAAAGGGTGGGGAGAGTAATTTACAGCGGAGAAACCTGACAAATACTACCTCAGCCAGGGGATCAAGGTCATCATCAACAGTGATAAGTCATATTGACAGCATGTACCCTTGATATGATGCGACGAGGCTGACATTTTACCTGGGTCACCCTCCCCAAACCCATAATGCAGCCTGATCATGAGAAAAACATCAGACAATCCCAATTGAGGGATAATCTACAAAATTCCTGACGAGTACTCCTCAAAACTGTCAAGGTCATCAAAAAAAGGAAAAGTCTAAGAAACTGGCACAGCCCAGAGGAGCCTAAGGAGACGTGACAACTAAATGTAATGTAGTATGAATGGGATCCTGGAACAGTAAAAGGACATTAGGGAAAAACTAAGGAAATCTGAATAAAGTATGGACTTGAGTTAATAATAATGTATCAATATTGGTTTATTAATTGTAACAAATGTGCCACACTAAGATGTTAATAAGAGGGGAAACTGGGTATGGCACATAGAGGAACTCTCTGTATTATCTTTGCAATTTTCCTAAAACTGTTCTAAAATAAAAGTTTATTTAAAAAGAGGGAGAGATAAAGATCTAAGGAACATAACCAGATGAAATGCATGGATCCCAGATTGGATCCTGGCTTATACAAACAAACAAAATGTCCTTTTGGGAACTATTAGAGAAATTCACATAACTGTGTATTGTTAAAGGTAGGTTTCTTTCCCTACATGAATAAGATTCCTTTCACTATGTAGAGAAATGTTATTTTTAAAACATGCATGCTGAAAAAAGAATTTTTGTTTGCCCTCAGAATAAATTTCAAACTCTTTCCCATGGCCTACATCTAAGCCCCTGTAAGCTCTGGTGCCAATGACCTCTCTAACCTCATTTTCTACCACTCCCCGCTTCACTCACCACAATCCTGCCACTCCAGCCTTCTGGCTCCTCCTGCTTTAGGGTTTTTGCCTAAATGCCTTCCCATGATGGCCCAAACAGAAGTAGTCCCCAGCTCCTACTGCCCTGTCTCATCACCCTGTTTATTTCCTTCAGAGCCTCAGGTTTTTTTTTGTTTGCTCACCATCTGTCTCCCCTACTAGAATGGAAGCTCCTTGAGAGCAAAGACCTTTGCCCAACTTGTTCACCATCTCACCAGCATTTAGAACAGTACCTTGCCCATACAGTACATGCCCAATAAATATCTGTCCAGTGAATAATTCAACAGGTCTTAGACCATAAGAACTACACGAACCATAAGCTACACATTCCAAGTTACCTCTGCTGTTCTCGATAGTAAAACATTAAAATAAAGATGTTTGAAGGATCACTTTTTAAACTTCTTTCCCTCCAACTGGCTTCAATCCATTCCCTCCTTTATGATCTCATCTCTAAGCAGGAGGGAAGGCAGACAGGCAGAGGGAGTCCTGGGCGTGAGTTCCAGACCTGACTCAAGCTAGCTGTGACCTGGACGATGCGTGAACCGCGGAGGCGGCACAGACATCGCGAAGGTCTGCCTTGGCAGCTGAGGGACTGCCTAAGAAATTCCTTTCCCAACGACTCACTTCTCACTCACTTACCTCACCACAGCCCATCAGGCATCTGGGGGCCCAGCCCCATCCTTACCAATAGCAAACTCCACCAGGGTCTCATTCTCCTCCGACAGCGAATCGAGGAATAAATCAAGGACCTGCAGCTGCCGCAGATACTGGTAATTGCTGGGATCATAGGCGAAATTGGCGAGGTTGGCCAGGACTTGTTCCTTGGCGTCTGCAGCGGAAAAGCAGCACTGGAGCCAGGTCCCGGGCGGCGGCCGCGGCCAGACCCCCGCCCCGTCCCGACCCCACCCTGCCGCTCTCACCTTGGCTCTCCGTCTCCTGGAATTCCGTGACCAGCGCCTGCAGGTACCCCAGGCGCCCAACGTGGGCGTCTACCTTCGGCTTCTGGGCCATGGTCGGGGACGCGGAGGACCTCCAGCGCACAGGCAGGAGAGTGTGGGAGGTGAGGCCGGAAAAGCCGGGAGAGAACCTGTCCGGGCCTCTACCGATAAGGGTAAGGGCGGACCGGGGCGCGAAATATCTTCCTTTTCTGGGTTCAGGTTATGCAGTAATTTGCAGCTGGAATTGGGATGAGGAGGATGGGGTGGGGCCTCAGGACCTTGTAAGAGTTGGGCGTGAAAAATCTAAATTGCGGCGTGAAAGACAAGGACTGCGCTCTGCGCTGGAAGAGGTAGTCGCGGTACGCAGCACTCCTCCACTGGGCTTGATTTTCAGCTCGATTCCGGGCTTCCGGTGGAAGGCACGCTTACCTCCGCTCGGGCGGAAGGGGCGGGCTGAAGCAGGCGAAGGGCGGGGCCTCTGTTGAGCTCGGCGCGCGTGCGCGTTCCGCTTCTCGCTTTACTGGCGGGGTCGCGGCGAAGGGCGTCGGGGAGTTAACGTATGCATTGATGAGCACCTCTAGGGTCCTTGGGAGCTCAGAGGCGGCGGAGGGTGTACATGTGGGGGGCTGTCGAGGCAGAAGCATCTCCAGACCCCCTTGCACCTGACGAGAAGACGCAGCTCAGCCTCCTCGACCAAGGGACGCGGGCTCGGCTCCCTGCGCCCCCAACATGAGTCCTTTGACACTACCTCTTGCTCGGCTTTTGCAAAAACCGTCTGCTCCGCAGCCCCAAGCTGAGTCCGCCACCTCTGGCCAGAAGTCTCCGGAACTGGGTTTGTCAGCCAGGTGGACGGGGAGCGCTGGGGCAGCACCAACGGGCCGTAGGAACCTCAGTTCACCCAAATGCACCGCTTTAGCGGCTTTCTGGGTTGTGCAGCCTTGAATGCTGAAGCCCTTCAGCCTAATTCTTTCTCGGGGCTTCTCAGGAAGGTGGTGTGTGACCGAGACCCTGTAGGCACAGGGAATAGAGCACCAGGGAGAGAGGTGGCCCTGCTGCACTCCAACCATGCTTGAAAATGTGGGGGTTAAAGGGGCTTGGGCTGTGAGCTTATTGAGGGCAAGGCCCATGTACCTTTGTTCCTGGGCCTGGCATGAGGGCAGAGTGGCTGCCACACTCCAGCCTCCACAGGCCCCACCTCTGTGGGCTTAGGTCCCTGTGGTCAGCCCCTGCTCTATGCATGCCCCCTGGGGCAGGAGTTATGACCATAGTCTGGGTGCTTGGGTACTGTGGCTGCTCCATGGGGGTGGTGGCCCCAGGCCCCTCGCCAGGCCCTTCAGCTTCTTTGGGGAAGTACGTCTTAGCCCAAGGTATCAGGGGGCTTCTCTGCCTTTGGCTGGACAGAGCAGTGAAGGCCTGGGGACCAGGAGCTCAGGGCTTGGGGACAGGATGGCAGTGAGCTCCACCCTGTGCTGCTCAGGAACTGCTCCAGACCCTTTCTAGGGGATTTCCAGGAAATCAGCTAAGTGTGGGTTCTGGCATCAGATGGGTCACCCTATCCTCCCTTATTTGTTCCTTGCCAAGGCCTCAGAGGCCCTCCTTGGGGAATAATTCTCAGTCCCTGGTTTTGTGCTGAGGGCAGCAACCAGGTCTTACTCCTCTCTGCCCAGTCCCTAGCACACAGTATATGCCCAATAAATATTTGTTGAAGGAATTCTGCCCAGAGATTATTGCCACTCTTGCCCGAGGGCAGATGAGCTCAAAGTCCCCTATGCTGAATGTTCACTGATATCTTTTTTCCTTAAAAGAAATCTTTTTTAAGGATATGGGCCTATTAGAGGATGCACATTTCAAAGCCAGATGGCTGCTAGCACTGGAAGCATTCACCTACCCACCAGCCCCAACTCCTTCCTCTTCCACTCAATTAAGATAGGCGAGACAAGACCTGGTAAAATGTGTCCCAGCATTCCCCCTCCAGTGCACAAGCTGTGGCTGGTGGCCAAGCGCAGGACTGGGTGGGGAGCAGGAAGGCAATGGGGGTCAGACTTTTCAAACTGGAAGAGACTTGTGCTTATCCAGGCCAACCTCCTCCTTTCTGAAAGCCCAGAGATGGTGAACAATTTGCCCAAAGTCGTAGAGCAAATTGTGGCAGAGCCAAACATGAACTCAGGTCTATCCCAGCCCAGAGCCCTTTGCTTCACCTCTGCACTACCATCTTTGGCCATAAGGGGGCACTCATGACAGGGTCCTGGAGAAGATAGGACATCCCCAAGGATGCTTACTCATCCCAGTTGGAGCCGGGTCATGAAAATAAAATCATTTCTCCTGATAAGGTTTTCTTGTTGGAGCCTGGCTGAGCTTCAATCAACAAATAAGGTCCTGGGTGAGTGCAGCCCTTGCTGAGCTGGGAGAACTGAAGGGGGAGGGGGAAACTTACTCCAGGCCTGTTTTCCAGCTTCATTAGTTCACAGGGTTTATATAACCTGCTGCAGAAAACATTTTTGTGTGTAATTCAAACAAACTCTGTTTTTCTATTCCCTCTGTTGGTACCCTGCTGGGACAAGCCTGGGCTGATGACAGCCAGCCCCCAGGTGATGAGCTCAGGGAAGGGCACCAGCAAAAACAGTGTGTGTGTGTTGGCGGGGGTGGGGGTTCTTTTTTTTGTTATACCCTTTAGAATGATATAGGAAGTGTTTCCTTTCTCAGATGTAATTAATAAAG